CCCGCCTCTCTGCAGCCCTCTTTCCCCCTCCCTTCCTGGCAAGGCTCCTCTGGAGAAGCCAGGCGGTGTCACTGCTCTATCAGACTTATCCGTGCCTCACCTCCCAGGACAGCATGGGGCAATCTTCCTGGATGCATTTACCTTCTCAACAGAGATGTGAGCCTGAGACTCTTGGGCCAGAGCTGGGCACGGGGAAGGGTGCTAGGCAGGCTTCTCTGCTGCCCTGGGCTTAGTCATCACTCAGTTTGCCTCGTGGTCTGACTGGTTGTTTGTCCTCAAGTTAGCCCTTCAGTTAAGAGCCACTTGGGGCCTCTACTAGAACAGGACTAGAAGGGCAGGACAGAGGGGGCAGTGGAAGGGTACCACCAGCTGCCCCCCCAGCACCCACTCTCCACTTCCTCCCAACAGAACCCCCGTTTCCTGCAGGTGTCCTCCCCTCCCCCAAGCAGCCATGTGCTTCTGGGGTCCCAGCCCCAGCTCAGGTGAGCCTGAGTGGTCCAAGAGTCATCCCATCTCCCCTGCCAACATGGGATTTGGGACTGGGCAGGTGGTCCAATTCTGACCAATGAAACACGAACTGAGGCCTGGAGTGCAGGGCTCCAGCGAGGGGCTTCTCAGACGAGTTTCCTGTCTCTAGGAGAGGCTGTCCTTCCTCCTCCTCTGGACATTACTGGGTCTGGACATGACACCTGGACCTGCCGCAGCCATCCTGGCTCCATCCTGAGGATGAAGTTGACACCAGGGGCGCAGAGCAGAGATGCAAGGAACCTGGGTTTCCAACGACATCGCTCCAGGATCTGCCCTACCTCTGGACTTACTGTGACATGTGATAACACACTTCCTCTTTGGTAAGAGACTCTTTCATTCTGGATTTCCGTTACTTGAATCTCAGAGCATCCTAACTGGTACCGAGGCCTTGGGGACCCCCTTTGTCTCAGGGCAGGCCCCCAGAGAGGCCTGGCCTTATCCCCTCTCTAACCCCCCTTCTTCTCACGAGGCTGCCTGCTGGCCCCTGGAGACTTGCAGACACAGCTCACCGTGCCATTTCTCACATCCTCCCACCAGGCCCCAAGCTCCTCCTGCCACATGGCTGCCGCTATTCCCACTCGGTCTGGGACGTGTTTTTCTTCGCTGATGCTCCCTTATTAGCAAATGATCCAGTTGCTGGGAAATCGGCACGTGTCTGTTTGCAGTGTTCTTTGGCATCTTGAACTCTGGGGCCTTCAAGATTCTTCAGCAAAGGATGCTGGGGGTGGGAAGGAGGAAGCGGATGGAGGGAACATCATCAAGGTCCCTGTCTCCCCTCCAACTGTATCTTGCCTTCAGAGAGGTGACACAGCTGACGTGTCCCCAGCGTGCTCTGGGCTTCATGGGTCCTTTCTGCAGTTCAACGTGGGCTGTCTTGAGCTCCTGAAACCTCCTAAGTCCCGAACATCTTCTTTTCTCAGCTCAGCCTCCCAAGGGTCCGTCCGTAGATCACCCGCCGGCTCCTCTCTCACAGGCTCCTGGCAATCAGCCCAGGCCTCTCACTGGGATCCTCCAGCTGCTTCTCTGAAACCTTGTCTCCCATCCACACTCCTCCAGCTTATTCCCCCCACCCCGTCCACCGTTGCCAATTTCACCTCCGATGGTGTGAGAGCCTGTAATCTAATCTCTGCCTCATCAACTTTTCCATCTCACTGAGGGTCTCCATCCCAAAGCACCTTTTTGCTCTCCGAATTGCTTTCTTCCTCTACCATTATTTACTAATTTAGCTCTGGAAAGCATTTGGGGAAGAGTTCTGGTACCCAAATGGCGCTCCATCCATGTCTCCAGGGCTGGGCCTGTAGTGCCCACCATCCCTGCCCCTTCCCGTCGTCCATCCTGCTTCCCTTTCACGAGCCCTCACTGTCCTTCTGTGGTTTCTGTTCCCCATCCGCATGTGTGTGCCTCTGGGTCTTGTCTCTGCTTCTCCTGTCCTGTCTCTTCTAAATATTAAATCCCCCAGATGACTCAACCCTCATTTAAAATCCTCTCCTTTCTTGGCTCCAAAATGTTGCTTGGCAAACACCCTCGATTCTCTTGTTTTTATATTTTCATTGGTTTCTTCATTGTTATCTTCTTTTGAGCTGTTTGCAAATTGTTCAGGGGAATGAAAGGCTCTGTATAAATTAAGATGAATCAACCTGACTCAGGGAATAGCGGCTGAGTTTCTCTCCCACCCAGCCAAATAAAAATAAGAATGTCTTCTAAACTCACACCTGTAACCCTCATCTTCCCCGACACCCTCCAGATCACTGGATTCCCAGAGTCCTCTTGGATGTCTGTGTGCCTCAGAACTTCTGTCGCTTAAACTCTGACCCCCAACATAATACCAGGACAGGAACCGTTAAAATGTCATGGAGTAATTCTTACAATCTGGGTTTTATTCAATGAGATAAACACTTAATTACAAACAGCTGTTTTAGCCTAAATTCTAATTACTTAATCTAGCCATCTGTAATTTTAATGATTTTCCACGATTTCTGTTCTTTGCCGCGTGATGAATGGGATTGGCACGTGAAATTAGAGGGGATGTGTCTCCCTTCACGACGCTGTCTTCTGTCATTGTCATCACCTCTGGCAAGAAGCATGTCTGTGGCTCGCTGGCAGCCACCTGGCGGACACAGCCTGGTGGGCGCAGCACTGAGCTTTTTCCTTTGGTGGTCACCCTTCGGTTCAGCCACTCCCTCTCTGTGCCCTTGGAAGTGGGCCCCCGTTCCAGCGAGCTGCAACTGGAATATCATGGGCCGACTGGGAAGATGAGGAAGACAGGGAGACACACTCCAGTTGGGAGGAAAAGAAATGAGACAGAAGAAAATGCAAAGAAAACGTGGCATGTGGGAGAGAAAGAGGGACAGAAAGAGAAAGGAAGGAAGGAGGTTATGGTGACAGAGGAAAGTGGAAAGGGAAGAGTGAGGGGAGGAGACGAGAAGGAAAAGAGAACGGAACCGATGGGGAGAGGAGGGGAGAGCGGGGAGGGCCTTGGAGGAAAGGGAGGGGGAGTAGAGCAGTCCCTCCGAGACAGGAGCGGTTGCAGCCTCTTTAGAAAGCTGGATGGGGCGACAAACCGGGCTGCGCTTTCCTGGAAGTGATTCTTTCTCACCTTCCGGCTCCCCAGCAGATGAAAGAGCTGGGCTGTTTGTGCTGGGAATTTACGGGAAGAGGCACCGCTTTGCCAAAGGTAGATGCTGAAGCGAGAAACCTCGAGAAAGGTTTGTTGCTTCCGGGTGAGGAGCTGCTGTATCACCTTCCTTTCAGAGACCACAGAGACCATGGCTGGAAGGTTCTGTAAGCTCTAGTCCAGGCTTCGCTGTAGCACCATCCTCTGGAGGCCCTCGGCAGGCCCCGGCTCTCCTCATTTCACCTCAGTTTCTTCATTTGTCAAAAAGGGATGCACACAACCGC